CCCACACATCATTGATACATGACAAACTAGGGCTGGTCTGAATAGCACTTTATGGTCTCCGGATATTCGGGCAGAACCACCACAACCATGAGGATTATGTTGTAAATGTGCTGGCTCCGGTTGGACAACAACTTAAAAAAAACCCTTTAAAAGCGCAAGATACTCTCCACCGTTACCATCCATGTTCACTTCCGCAAACACTGAGCACACTCGTTGTGTGTGACGTCATTGTGTCGTCTTCATGTGGGACACTTTTGGGTCGTATGAAGTTCACACAGGAGAGACCACATACAAGTTGCATTTAATGGGAAATGTGACCAAACTCGCAAAAAAATCGGATTACACAAAAAAATCGGAAATGAGCATTAAGTCCTGCAGTCTGAACGTAGCCAAAGTCAGTGTTTTGGAGTGGACATTACAAAGCCCTGAAAAGGCGTGTGAAGCAAGTGCACTATCTTGTGTACTATCTTCTGCGTTGTGATACACCAAAAATTGAGACTGCTCTTCCTTTGGTTCCAACCAGCTGTTTATTTACAAACTTCAGGACACATGGAGACGGGACACAGCAGACTGGCAAAAATTGCGCGGGGCGCACCCCCTCAAGTCTGCAGGGGCCCAGCAGAGGGCGTCAACATTACATCCCGTCTCAGTGGGGAAACCAATACATTACAAATAAGGCAAACAATTGTATCATGAAAAGAGATGGCAAGTGAAATCATTAACTCCGCTACACAAGGCGGCTTACAAACTTGACTTAGTTACATCAGTTCTGCCAGGATGAACAGGCCAAAATTCCAGTCAACTATTGTGAGAAGCTTGTGGAAGGATACCCAAAATGTTTGACCCAAGCCACACAGTTTAAAAGCAATGCTACCAAAAACAAAGAGAATGTATGTAAACTTCTGACCTTGAAGAAAGTAAAAAAAACAATTCTCTAAAAATTCTCTCTCTCTGGAATTTAGCAATTAGAAATAACTTTGGTAATCCTAACTGACTTTAAATAGGAAAAGTTAAGTCTCATTTAGTGTCAGATGGTGTGACAAAAAGGCTATGTGTCCCTTTATAGAGTGTACGTAAACTTCTGGTTTCAACTATATACACCGCTTAATCCTCACTAGGGTCGTGGGGGGCTGGAGTCTATCCCAGCCGACTTAAGGTGAAGGCAAGGGACACCCTGGACAGGTCACCAGTCTATCACAGGGCTACACAGAGACACAACAGGCACATTAAAATTCACACATACGGACAATTTAGAATCACCAATTAATGTCAGTGTGTTTTTGCACTGTGGAAGAAAGGAACCCGGAAAGAACCCATGCTGCACAGGGAGAACATGCAAACTCCACACAGACGTCCTAATCGGCACACGAACCAGGGATCTTTTAGCTGTGAGGCGATGGTGCTAACAACCGAGCCACCATGCAGCCCCCAAGGATTCATGTTCCTACTTTATTGTTTAAATTGAAGGTGTCTCAAAATCTCTGATCCAATTTTTATACTAAATGTGACAACAACAAGTACAGCAAACAGAGAAATGCAAAATAAGATTCCTATGTATTTTCTCTAGAGATAGACTGATATGGTTTTTTCAGGGCCGATACAGATACGGATTATTAGTAGTCAAGGAGGCCGAACTGATATGTAGACCTGATTTGCAGTAAAAGTGAAAATGTTGGCGTCAAAATTTTGAATAATACAAACTCCAACAGTTAGCTTCATTTAAAGGGTTAGCAGGGACCCTGTCATTCGAATCTAGGCTGCTACATTACTAACAATGAATATTAATATCACTGAAAAAATAGCACAGTCGCAAAAGGAGAGACTATTCATCCCCGAACACCATGCAGTTCATGTAGGCTTTATAATGCAGTTACATTATGTCTTAAGTCTTGAGCAGCAACATCCTGCTCCTCTCTACAAGAAACTATCAAAGACAGCCTCAGGACACACTTGATCTGACAATATGTCATTTTCTGCTGCTTGGGATCTCACAGTCAACACAGAAAAAGGTAAAGTAAAAGAACTTGGTAGTTAAACAGCCATTATGGCCCTACAGTTTCTCTCAGACAGACATTGCTTTGCTGTCAGTTTCTGCAGCTTCTCATGTATCACACACACACACACACACACACACACACACACACACACACACACACACACACACACACACACACACACACTTACTTCTTACTATCATCACTGACTATTTCCACTTTCTATGAACTAATTTTGTTGTAACCATAATATGACAATAAAATCTGCACAGAAGTAATCGCTTCCCCTCTGTCGCATCAAAAAGTCTGAGAAGATATCTCTGCAACCCACACTTTAATCTCTGATCATATAATAGCAGCAGAACTTTCCTGTGCAGTTTTTAGGCTGCCATAGTGGTGTTCATAGACAGAGACACATTCCTCTGCACTCATCTACCTCCAGTGTCAGTGAAAAGCAAGAACAAATTTGCAAGCATGGGCTAACTGTATTTCCTGACTGTTTTGCATGTGCAACAGAGTCACTGTACATTTGAATGTTTAAACAGAACTGGTTCACAAATAGCAGGAAAACAAACCCCATTTCACCAAGCATCTAGTTTGCTTAAGTCAAGACAATCAACCTCATTTAGTTTCAGGGATAGTTTTGTCTTCCAACTCGTTCAACCTGAACACTCCTGTAACATCACCTCTCAGCATGTCGATGTTTTGACTCATGAATACTCAGCAGTCCTTAGTGCATTTTTACACCATTGCAAGAGTATTCAATATTCACACACATTCATCTTTAAACTCAGCCTTCATTTTGGTTCCAACACACACTTGTACAGTTTCCTTTCTGCATCTTGCTTGGTTGTGACACTACTGACTAATATTTCCACAGACGGATGGACGGACGGACGGATGGACACACAGATAGGAGATCTGTTAAAGCCTAAAAAGTGACTTTGTAGCAGTTTCTGCTACAGTACGAGTCTCCAGGACCACATATTCCCACAATGACACACACACATACACACACAGACAGGCTCATAAGGTGAAAAGAATAAAACATTTGCTATCAAAGTTGGTCATAATGTAGTAATGAGACTGAGTATTTATGGGCCACTACGTCAAGTCAACATGTTGACAGGCGCCATGGCTGGTCTGGTCCTACAGTTGAACTGCTAAACATGTTCTTGCCCAAGTGGAGCTGGTTTAGACTGTAGCCCTCTGTCCAAGTAACACCACACACATCAGCATGGAACTTTCCCACACTGAATATGCAAATATGGAAAAACAAATGTGTACATCTGAGAATTCTAAGTCTGACAGGTGACTGGAAACTGACAAGACAAATGGAACTTTATCTTCTCCTTTCTCATTCATGGTATGGTGTAACCCCTCGACTCTGTGTTGTGTTTGTCTTAATTAAGAGTCGGAATGCAGAACTGTCTTTTCCCATTTATTAGTCCACCTGGCAATACAAGACAACTCTGGTCAGCGGGCTCAGGTGTCTCGGGCACAGCACCCTGCCAAAGGAGCAGCATGGTTATCTCAGCTCATGTTCGCTAACTAGCTAGCTCGCTAGCGGAGTTTCTCAATCTCACCAAACAAAGAACACATAGAAACAACGACACACATATCCACAACGACACACATATCCACACACTCCAACGAACATTCATGTGACTGATTTTACACTTACATTTTCAAAAATAAACAAAGCAAACTCGTAACATAACCATTCATGAGCTCGTGCTGTGCTCCGCAACCCGCCTCATGCACACCTCTCGGGGAACTGATGGCGCGACACTGGTACCAGTGTGGCGCCACTGAGCCGACAACAAAACACCATTACATATACACATACATACTGTTACAATGGCACCACATGCTTTTACTTGCAGCAGATGTTGACCTAGCTCTTTGTATACTGATAAACAGTGACCTGACACAGTCGGTGTTCATCAGTAGCATTTGCATGATTTGCATGATTCTCAACTGCGGTACACAATCTAAAATTTGAATTCACTTTTTCTTTTCCGTCACATGCATGTTTCCTTATCTTCCTGTGATGTGTGCTGCCTCTGAAAATGAGTAGAAACTCAGCTAATAAGACAAGCAGTTAAACGGTACAAACACCTAAACCTAAATCCAACTGGCAACACACCAAGATGAGTGTGTGTTTTTGGGAATTAACACCATGATACCATAAAGCTTGATGTTAATATTTCTGTTTTATGTATAATAATGTAACACACAAGCAAGCATTCCAAGTCACATTAACATGTGGAATTGAATTTAGTATTAAATGTAAAATATTACAAAAGCTCAGTTTTCATGCAACATTTAAAGCTTTTTTAACTTTTGTACATGAAACCATTGTAGTTTGGGGTTTATCTTTTTTCAGAGCACCTTAGATGGCAAAAATGGCTACGCTTTTTTGCCTTTTCCATTTCAAGGCATCGCTGAGAGATTGGTGCAGTGGGGAGACCCCAGAATGACTGGAGGAGAGAATATGCTGAGCATGTCTTCTGGTATTGATGCATCTACAAATGCATCCCACTGTACTGTCCATTGATGAGACTGAAAACTACAGTAGATAGTGCAGATTGTTTTTATGGTTCACGTCATATATCCACTTCTCTACACTGTGTCAAATCAGATCTGGGATTTAGGTGCAACTCACTTGATGTCAATTTTGTGCTTCAAGAAAGCAAAAAATGCTATGAGGCTGTATATACTTGTAGCAGTGTGCTGTATGTATGCCTATTCTATATTGAATTTAAAATTCTGGTGTGTCATTCTTTGTTTGTTCAAATCTAGTCAGTTTGAATTTTTGTCATGTATATAAACCTTTTTTGCTTTCTACATCATGGAAAAAAACCATCTGACCTCCACTAAAATGAAACACAGTGTCATAATATTGCCCTTATAAAGACTATTTGCATAAAACAAATGCCTCCAGCATGCCAAACACAAGCCCTACTGTGCTTTAGTTCAAGTTCCCAATTGGCAGATTGTTCAACCAGCACAGTTCACTGAAGTGTCTGTCCATCCTGTGTACTTCAGAGGAAAGAACTACTCTGTGTCCAGTGAATAATAATGTAAGTTGTGTTTCCTTTATTTCAGTGTGCATGGGTTATTACAATGTTGGTACTGTACTTGTCAAATTCTAAAGATTGTTAAGCAATTTTGGTGAGTTTGATCTCATGAGAAAAGCTGAACATTTTGATCAATTTTCTATATATTGATCGGGAAGAAAGCTTCTAAATGGATTTAAGATTGGAAATATGATTAAACTTAAAGAGCTCTAGCAAGCACGTGCAATTTTTACTCTTTGAATTTTGAATGTTTAGTTTAAAAAAATGAACTGAATTTCTGTAGTATTGAAACAAGGAGAATTCACCTTGTATTTGTCTTTGTCATGGCTTGAAATGGGGCTGGAAGGTGGGTCAGTGGTTAGCACTGTTGCCTTGCAGCAAGAAAGTCGTTGATTCGCATCCCGGTGAGGACACCTGGGATTGTTCTGCGTGCAGCATGGGTTCTCTCCGGGTTCTCCGGCTTCCTCCCACACAGTCCAAAAACATGTTGAGGTTAACTGGTGATTCTATATTGTCCATAGGTGTGAATGTGAGTGTGCTTGGTTGTCTGTCTCTAAGTGTAGCCCTGTGATAGACTGGTGACCTGTCCAGGGTGTCCCCTGCCTTCACCCTAAGTCAGCTGGGATAGACTCCAGCCCCCTACAACCCTAGTGAAGTTTAAGTGGTGTATAGATAAGGAATAAATGGATGGATTGTCAGTCTAGGGCTACACTTAGAGACAGACAACCAAGCACACTCATATTTTACACCTACAGATAATTTAGAATCACCAATTAACCTCAACATGTGAGCAATCTCTAGCTGCGAGGCAATGGTGCTAACCACCGATCCACCTTTCAGCCCAGCCACAAAACAGAAGGTGCAAAATAATAAAATATTAAAATAAAACAATATTAAAAAGTAGATGGTCAGGTAATATTGATGAGTATTTGAGAGTCACACAATGTATGTTGATTTGTTGTTGTTGTTGTTGTTTTTAATGTTTTAAGTAAGTAGATTTTTTTTTCCTTTTTTCTGACCATACAAAAGCTTTTTTAAAAATGTAAACTGACTGTAAACTTTTGATTTAGTCCATACATTCAGAGGAAGAACAATGGTTCCCATTCTGCTTTTACTGCTGCTGCATGAATCGCTGGCTGAGCAAGGTATAAATATCAGTTTTGTTAGTTCAGAATTTGTTCATCACAGAAGAAAGAAAGTAATGCACACATACCAAATATGTAGAAATGTGTAGTATTTTAATCTAGATGTGTTTACTTTTTAAAATCTTGAAGGACCTGTGTGCCTGAAAATCTAGAATCTAAAGATTATAAATCCTGCCTGTTTTAGTCACAATAGCAGGAAAATGGCACACAAGTGTGGTTATCTAGCACAGCAGAATGTAACAAGAGCTGGTCCTGTTAAAGGAAACATTTAATAACATTCTATTAAACTGTGGTGTATAATCTATGGGCATTGAGAGCAATGGTGGTCACCCTATTGTGAACAAAAAAGCTAATTTTGCCTTCTGGTGGTAGCTAGACCCTTGTAGTTTTCAATTAATTGTGTTATACCAGGCAAAAATTATATGTAAATTTGTCTTTGGAACAATGTTTTACCTTTAGACTTACTTTTATTATTGTACTGTGAAATTCATTTTTCCCCAAACAACCAAACAAATGAAAAAGTTAAAAGAATATTTTTTTGTCACTGTGATGGAAAATGTGTGTTATAGTAAGTTATGTTTATCTTCTGTTTCTGTGTTCAGTGTGTTTCAACATTTCAGGTTTTAACATGAGTATTAATTTTACTCCAGCCAATGTGGACATCCATGATCATGTGAATAAGACTGCACACTGCAAAAAACAGGGACTTTCTTGTGTTATTCTCTGTGAATCTCGCAACGGGACGTGGTTCAATGAATCACATGTTTGCTTAGAAGCTGAGCTGACAACATTTAGCACTTTTTCTGAGTATAACATATACAACTGTAAGTACACTTTCTCCTAAGTAAACCATTTCACCTGTACAGTCAAGTCTGTTATAATGGGCAACCCTGTCCACTTCAGTATGTACCATGTCTAATGGGGTTAGCTGATTCATTGCCAGCCCCAATTGCCCTGTCTCTTTAAACAGGGAAATTACACTGTAAATCGTCATTTGATTCCTGTCTTTCTTCTCAGATAGCACTTGCAAAGACTTTGTATGCGAATACCTTCCCATTTTATCGCTGATTCAGTCTCTGCAACATGACCGTGCTGGCCAGAAAGACTTGATGCAACTCATCAGCATAAGGGAAGCATGTGAACAGCTCCTCAGCAGCGACGTTAAACTTAAGAAGGCGTTTTTAAGGTAAGTTTCAGTCCTGTGGTAGGCACTATGTGCTGAAAGAGATTGACCTTTTTTCTTTTTTTTTCTTTTTTTCTTTATGTAGAACTGTCTGTTATAGTCATGAGAGCAGCATGGTTCAAAGGATGGCAGTGTCAGTCTGTTGGTTGGTCCACTACTATTGTATGATTTGGCACAAATGTTTGTACACACCCAGAGGATGAATACTAAAGACTTTGGTGATCCCAACTTTTTCTCTTGCTCCACCATGAGGTCACATTTGTAGGCCAGTACTTTGATTCAGGACCATCTGCCTCTGCTGTGCTCCAAATATTATGCTGACGCATAATAAAGTAGATTACAAACATTGCATATATTAGTGAATTGGTTTACATTTCTTAAACAATCGTCAGAAGTCCATGAAAGCACTGAAACAGTTTTCTCTTGTAATTATTACCCCTGTTCATACTGACCATTAAGGATTTCTAACTTACATTTCAGTATAAGGGTTGAGTTAGAATCTCTCAGAGCCAAGAAGTTCTATTTTACTACATCTAAAATCTTATGCTCTTTGACCTGTCACACTGGAAGTATGACATTCTTGTTCTGTGTTACAATAATATGCACAATGTACTTTGTACTTTACACAACATTAAAACCACCGACAGTCGGCATGAATAACATTGAATATCTCAAAAATGTTGCACCTCTCAAGAGGTGGGATATGAAGTGGGGTTCCAAAGTATTCAGACAGTGATAGTTTTCAGAATTCTACCTCTGTACACCACCACAATGGATCTTATATGGAGTTATTTAGGTTCCAGTGTAGCAGAAATCTAGGAAAGGCCAAAAAGCAAAACAAACAAACATACCAAAAAATGCCAGGACTTGAAAATACAGTCCTCCTCCTGCAGCTCCTCCCCTTCCTGCCACACAGCATATGAAAGTAATTTAAAAGGCAAAAATAATCAAGTTAAACAGTTACTTGTGGCTTCACCCTGAATTTTCAGCCCATACTCCTGTGTCAGAGTTTTCTGTTTCACCTGATCGTGAAGCCATGCCACTACCGACTTTGTTTCTCTTTATACTCTGTCATCTGCTTGATTCGGCATGTAATTAGCTACAGTCTCCCACTACAGGTAAAATTTTCTATTTCCTTTAAGAGGAGGTACAGAGACCTTTGAACCTTTCAGGCCACGTGCATTACAACATGCTAAAAGATTATTATGGAATTTTTGCCTAGTGATGACCAATGAATAAATAACTAAATAAAATATTGCCTACTTCAGCTTTGACAAGTGACTGAAAGTCACATTAAAAAAAATGTAGTCCTTCCTTTTTCACAGGCATTCAAGTAATCAAACAATTGGCTGATAATTAGTTTCATGGCCTGTTTCCTGATTTCAGGAAAAAATAGGGAAATGAGTTGGTTCAGTGCATTGCACTAGCATTTGCTGTTCATTGGAACTAATATGTGATCTGAAGGTGTTGATGCAAGTGAAAGCATGCCAGATGAAAAAACAACACAAAACAAACTTGGTTGACAAAAACTTTACAAATGATCACATTGACAATTTGGTACATTCTTAAGAAAAAGAAATGTACTTGAATGCTCAGCAACACCAAAGGTCCTGGAACACCAAGGAAAACTATTGAAGTGGACAATCGCATGGTGAAGAAAGTCAAGAACTCTTTAACAGACACTGTAGGCATATCATTTTCAAAGCCAACAATCAAGAGATGCCTTCATGAGTCACACACAGGCAGAAAGACCACAAAGCAGCAGCAACGGCAGCAAAGAATGCAAATGTTACTCAGATGATACTTATTTATAATTCTGCCTGTTTTCAAAATTCTTTTGAGCCTGTGAAGAAGGATTCTTAAAAATGGTTGCAATCTCCAGGCAGTTAATACAGCATTAAATCAGTAGGGGGGAACAATCAAGAGTAAGCAACGCTGCAGGCTGGTTACTTCCTTTGACAGCTTTTAAATGTCTCCCAGTTATAGTCCTCTTTGAACTATCACCATAGAATAGGCTAGCAACACACTTCAGCCTTTGGAAGCCCAAATCTGCCTTCATAGCACCAGGTCTGGACGAACCCTGCACAGCAAAACACAGCCAAATCAGAGTCAGGACTGACCACAGAGTAGAGACACACTTCAGTCAGCATGCCCACCTCACATTCACCTACATTCCTGCTGCCTGGTGTCAAAGCACCTTCAGTTCTTGTCTATGCGTCAACATCTCAGAGATGTTTCAGTGGCAAAAGGGGGACTTACAGAAGATCAGGCAGGTAGTTTTAATGCTGTGTCTGATCGGTTTACATTATATATTCTATTGTGCATACAGTTTACAGCCAAAGTGGGTCTCTTCGTGCTCATACTGTATCTACTGTCTTTACTGGTTTTGTATGCTACAACCCTCCTATCAGTTATTAAATCTATTTGCATGAGTGGTTCTTTCATGTTACATAATGGCTATTTAATTTCTACAGCGTGGAAAAACATATAATTCATGCCATCATGAACAGAACCAAGGTTGAGGCTGGAAGCTACGTAAACTTCGATATGAGGGCCTTGTCTCTGAATGTGTTTAACATCAGCGAGGCCGTCCTCAACTCTGCAGGAGCCGACTCCAGCATCCACATAGAAGCTCCACAGGTACATAAACTGTGACGGAGATGTTACTGAGGAATTTAGAAGGGACAGTGTTGACTGAAACAGCATGGCAATGAATGAATTTTTGTTATATTTGCTTAGCTTTAATTTATATCCTGTCAGTTAAAACTAGCCTTGTTGACTAAGGTTGTGCTTAACATTTAGGATTGTTTTTGTTCTGAGTATAAGCCACCAGGTGTCCTGACTTAACATTATTTTCTTAAATCCACTGTCAGCTGCTGGCTGAAAACGAGACATCTGTTGAGGTTTGGCTGCCTGTGTATGCCCTTCTCAACATCCCAGAGATGAAGAGGATTATTGGTTTGGTCACCTACTTAGAGCACAGCCAGTTCCAAGTATATCTTATATATCTTATTTATATTATCCTATTTCCTCTTTCACCCTCTGTCTCATCCACAATCCTGACACCTTTGTGTTACAATCATTATGCAGTCCCAAGCCTTATAAGATTTTTCTTGACAGAATATTTTTAATTAATCTCTTCTTTTCTTATGTATCCTGTATATGCACAATGTAATAATTATCTGTATTTCCCTCCATCACATACTGTAACTGTCCTCTTATTAGTTTCACCAGGAGGAGATCGCATCGAGGGTTCTCAGAATAGAGCTACTGGAGGAACGACGCCTCCATAATCTGACTCAGCCCATCAAAATGAGTTTCGAAGTTACTAAAATTGATGTAAGTGTGTTTGTTCAATTGTCTTATCTATGGAAAGAAAGCTCTGTGTGTGTGTGTCACCTATTCTGGGCCATTTAAATAAGGTTTACTTGATCTGATGGGACTCTGTTTTGAGACACTAAATGGGACTCAGAGCAATTTCTATTGTTTTAACATGTAATGTATGAGGAACATATCTTCATTTAGGTTTTCTTTGTCAGTCTGCTTTTTGTTTGCTTGTGTGTAGCTGATTTGAAGGTGGCAATATGTAGCATTGTTAACATCAATTTAGCTGTGTGTTTTTGTATCTTTACAGAGTGAGTCGCAGTTACTGTGTCACTACTTTGATGAAGGTAGGTAGGTGTATGTCAGCTTACAGCAAGAAAAAGAGCAAAGCACTGACACTGTATACCAGTGATGGTTTATTAACTCATATATTAGCTCGATGTACACATTTAAAAGTAAGAAAGCAAGAAGAGCACACTTCCAGCCCGTGGCTGCGCTTCGATGGGGTGGAAGTATTTGGCTGCTGATGCTAGTTTAGGATAGCGGTCCATAAACACTGAGCGCGCTCTTTCCGTGTGACGTCGTTGTGTCCTCTTCTGCGCATGCGGGACACTTTTGGGTCGTATGAAGTTCACACAGCAGATCACAAACAAGTTGTATTTAATTAGAAACGTGAACGAACTCGCAAAAAAACCGAATTTCACAAAAAAATCCTAATTGAGCATTAGTAGTCTGAGCGTAGCCAATCTGTCAGATTGTTAAGTCAGACAGTACAATAATATCCTTATTTGTGACATAAAATGTCATGTCTGAGTCGGAATCTAAGGCTGTCAGTATGTTAAGGCTATTTTTTATGGGTTCCTTTCTTTTTTCTTAAAAACCTGTTGAATAGCAAAGTTTTCGGATAGTTAAGGGTCAGATTATCGAGTCACGACTGTAGAATGCTTTAATGTTTGAAGAGACTGTTGCATGTCAGACAGCTAGCAGAATTACATCTAATTAGCTGAGTTACTGTTTGGTGCTCATAGTTTCAGACTGGAGGTGGAAAACAGACGGATGTGAGACTGACAACAGCACGTACAATGACCAACAAGACAAAAAGATCATTTGCAGCTCTGATCATGCAACACCCTTTGCTGTCTTACTGGTAAGGAAACACATGTGTTGTGACTAACTTGTTCCTAGTGATATAATAACCTATAATTAATAATAGGCAATTTGTCAGCCTTTGTTGGGATAGAAACTTTCATATAGGAAATAAAAAATGTAACAGATATTAATCATGTTTGCATAATCTTTACTTTAGACTGAGAAAAGTCCAGTTACTGAAGTCCCTCAGTTATTTCTGGATGGTGGTAAAAGTAAATCTATAAATTGCAGTTTACCATTGTCCCATTTTTTATTTTTTTTGCAGATCAGAGAATCAATTTCAAGTGTCCACTGGGAAATACTGTCATACATCAGTTACATAGGCTGTGGCCTGTCAGCCTTTTTCACTGCTTTGTCCCTTGTGATATATGTGTTCAGTCGGTACGTATACATAGCTGCAAAGTAAAAACACTGACATTATACACTGCCTGGCCAAATAAAAGTCACACACTCTAGTATTTTGTTGAACTGCCTTCAGCTTTGATTATGGCGTGCACTCGCTGTGGCATTGTTTCAGTAAGCTTCTGCAATGCCACAACACTTATTTCCGTGCAGCATTGACTTAGCTTTTCACCAAGGTCTTGTATTGATGATGGGAGAGTCAAACCACTGCGCAAAGTGTTCTCCAGCACATCCCAGAGATTTTCAATGAGGTTAAGGCCTGGGGCCTCATTTATCATCAGTGCCTTCAGAAACGCCTCCAATTAACCACACACAGCAACAACACGCCTGTTTACAAAACAAGTGAATATTTTTTTTCCTCCCTCACCTATCATCATCATTGCAAAGACGGTGACAAAGTGGAACTTTTCGGAAACCAAAGGAGGTATTTTCCCTGCCTTTCTTGGCAGTGATTGGTGTTTTTTGTGGGGTGTTACTGCCACCTACAGATAAGTGGAATAATGCATTTGCATTAAAATGCAGTAATGCAATGCATTTGCATCTGGTTTTGCCATTTTTGGAAATTTTGCTATTTTTGGAAATGGAGACAAACAGAATCGTATCTTGCCTGTGGAGTGGTCATATGTCTGTGTGTTTTTGTTTTTCTCTTCCTCAGAAACCATAAACTGGACTACTCCATCTCTATTCACGTGTCTCTGAGCGGAGCCTTGTTTCTGCTCAATACAACCTTCCTGCTCACTGAGTGGGGGGCCACGGTGGATCTAGACTGGGTGTGTGTGTTTATTGCAGTGTCCCTGCATTACTCCTTGCTCTGCTGTTTCACCTGGATGGCCATAGAGGCACTTCACCTCTATCTACTGCTGATAAAGGTGTTTAACACCTACTACAAACACTACATGCTCAAACTGTCTCTTGCTGGATGGGGTGAGTACAGCACTGGATTTACGACATACTGATGTAAATAATCAGTGTGACAGCAGCTTCACTAAGGACAGAGACTACACTGTAATAAAGTACTGCAAAAATACAGCCAAATACTGTCAAAAGTGTGTTTCCCACCCCCCAAAACATGGTTAAAACTGTAAAATCTAAAGTTTCTTTAGACTGACTGTTAACAGCAGACTACTACAAAAACTGACGTTGTAAATTGAACAAATAATACTCACAAAGCACTTTGTTGATGGGCAACTTGATGTAAGCAGCTAAGAATAATATTGAATACTTTACACCGATAGCCTGATAATTTAGGGTCTGGGCACCGACCCTATTGGAACCCAAGGAATTATTATTGTCCACATGGAACAATTACATTTTTGAGGGCTTAAACATGCTCAAAAACTCATGATAATTTGCACACACCAGAGCTGGTGAAAAATTAGATATTTTATGGGACTTGCACATGTCCCAAAATGGCTCCATAGTGCCCCCCACACACTTTGTAACATCTACAGGCAGGACGTTTCACCTACAGTTACAAAATCTGGTAGGCATATGTAATACATTAGGGCGCACAAAAAGGTCAGCGGGCACCATACCAACAAGAAGTCTGCCATTTTGATTTGTCGGTGAGAGCTTTGCTTATTTATTTATTTATTTATTTATTTTTTTATCATTTTCAAGCGCAAACTCCTCTTTGGTAATAACTCCAAGAGACCTAAAATTTGGGCTATACATACAAATGGCCCTCATGATAAAAAGTTATCAAAATCTTCCACAAAAGTCAAAGGGCATGGCCACTGTGGCCCCCTGAAGTTTGATGATTTGCCATCAAAAAGGAAGTGCTGTCTAACTACCCTGTACATGCTTCAATTTGCCTCAAACCTTACATGTTTGATCAGTGTCCTACCCTGATCACATCCATATGCCAATATCTATTCACAGTCATACTGCCACCTGGTGGCAACAAGAAATTACATGTTTTACACTTTGATGTCCTATTGTTTGCCCATTGACCGTATTCACTTCAAATGTGGTGTCATAAGCCTTAACAATGACTCCTGGAGAAAACAGCTCTGTATGAATGAAAATGCACAAAAAGCCATAGTTTAGTATTCTAACTTAGGCACAGGTAATACTTTTTAAAAGAAGAAAATGTTCTGATTTACAGGCAGCTGGAGTTAATGGACATTGCAGTGGCAACAACACAATTTAAATGCAGTACATTAAAGAAAAGTCTAGTTACAGTATCAAACAGTAAACCGCCTATTCTACTGTAGAGTGCTGTGATCAGTTGAAGCTTGAAGGGTCATTTATTGTTAATATTTATTGTTTATAGTTGTTATAATAAACTATCTACTTATATGATATTGTTATGATTTATATGAAACAAAATAAACTTGTTAGATGTAATTTTACGTTTGATGTCTGGTGTGTAACAGTATTGAAGCAATTTGTTTCTATGATTGATAAGCCTGATACAACCGCAGTGTTTATAGGTTCATAGAATTGTTCAGGTGTCAAAACATGTCACATTGTTTAATACTTCAAATAACTTCAAAGCACCAAACCTATCCTTCCTGTGTTCCACACATGTAGAGTTGTTTGCTAACAAACTGATGCAAACCGACTTAATTAACTGGGCAAACTCACTCTATGAGTGGGACTAGTGTATTGTTAGAACACTGCGCATCACTGGATTTCATGCCTAACTGACCGGTGCACTTGTGCACGGGCCCATTGGTTAACATCAAAGGCAAGTAAATCTGTCGGATTGTTAAATCAGATAACACACTGTTATCCAAGGCTGTCGGTATGTTGAGGCTATTTTTTATGGGTTCTGTTAGTTTTTCCTAAAAACCTGTCGGATAGCAAGGTTTTCGGGTCGGAATGTCAAGTCACAACTGTATTTTTATTAGAAGTTCACTTCATATTAAACTTGAATGTGTCATTGTGTGTTTTTTAGGGATTCCTGGTGTAATCGTGGCCGTTTCTTTGGGAGTGAAGAACTATAAGCAGTTTTATGGAGCTACGCAGATGACCATGACTGACACTAACCAAACTAACACTATGTAAGTACATTCTCTGAAGGTTCAACAAATTTTGGAGTGGCTACAGCACTGAAACTTTTTTTTTGTTACCAGCATTGTAACAGACATAGTACATTTACATGCATATTCATACATATTGCTTTTCTTGTTGTTTGTCCTCAAAACCAATCAGAATAGACAAGCCTAAGAACTTTTACAGCAGATGGGCTGACAATTAAAAAGCTTTAAAGCTTAGCTGCTCAGCCTTTTTGGGTGTTTAAAGGCCCTTTTGAATCCTGTACAAGAAGGGCAGACTGCCACAAACAATAAAAACTATTGTATAGAGTAAGTAAGTAATTAGAAATGGTAAAAACAATGAACCCTGGCTACTGCTGAAAAACATTAACGATAAAGTGTCTACTGTCTTTCTCACAGCTGCTGGATCACAGATGACTCCTTCTTCTACTCTTTGAACCTGGTATACTTCAGCCTTATATTCATCTTCAACACTGGCATTTTGATGGCTGTGGCCTCTAGCATCTGCAAGATGAAGCAAGTGTACAAGAGTAACTCGAAACTTGGAGCAGGTGCTAAGGGGAAGTCATGGAGTGACTCTCAAAGGTTCAGTGCATCCTGCAGGAGTGGCCTCACTCTGATGGGTCTTACCTGCCTGATGGGCACCACTTGGGGCCTGGCCTTCCTGGGCTCTGGATATGTCAACTACCCCATCCTCTACCTTTTTTGCATCCTCAACTCTGCACAAGGTCTGTGTGGTTTTAGTCTTTTGATTCAATTTGGTTGGTTTTAACCAGTCTTCCCTCTCATATGTCCACCTGTGTGTCTCTTTGACTAGGTTGCTTTATCTTCTTGTGGATCTGTTTGTCCGTCAAGAAGCAGAGGAAGAGGGAAATGGAGGATAAAATGTCTTCAACTCCTGTGAGGACCTCAGGAACTAAATCTGAGTAGATCTTTTTTTCTGTAATTAATCTTGGCTGAACCCTCCTCTAACAATCCCTGTCTACACAGATACATTAAGAACAAATTCCATATGTAACCTCCCAAGATGCTAGGTTGAAAATTCCCTTCACTGAAAATCCTCAATGCAACTTTTATCAGCATTTTTTGTGTAACTCTGCATTATCTTCACATATACATAAACCTCTTACTCATAAATAGAAAATGTAGAATGTTGTAGTGTTGTATGTTTTTTTCTGAATAAAGTTTTAACAAATCAACAGTAGAGTTTCATGCCCTCCACCTCCAGCTCTTCTGCTAAGTTGGCAGCCTTCCCTTCCCCTTTCTCCCTCCTCTCCCTTTCCCTCATGTGGGCATAAGTGTGTGTGTGTGTGTGTGTGTGTGTGTGTGTGTGTGTGTGTGTGTGTGTTTGTGTGGAATGTTTGCAGGTGGCTAATTACCTGACTGAGCACACCTACAACGGGGAGTGGTTTAACTGTTCAATCTGAACCATAAAAGCCTGGCTCAGACCACTGCACAACGCCGGACTGTTGAATAACACTCAGCCAACCCAGCTCCTAGTTGCTTGTCATGTTTCGCTTTTTGTTCTTTTTAGTAACCTATATTATCTTTGTCCAGTCCGCGACCACTCCTGCCTGCTCCGCTTGCTTGCTCTGCTTGCCTGCATGGCTGGCCATACCTGCCAGTCACCCAGATCACTGTGTGTACGGCATTTTATCTGGGTTCTGCTGGACCTCTGTGCCGAAAACCACACCGGGCCTGCACCTGCCACACTACTCCCCATAGTACCAGCATGAGTATCCTCCCTTCTCTCGCCTGATCCTCATTGTTTACTATTTGCTATGGTGATTATGCTCTGACAGATGTGCGACCAGAAATGACTTTAAAAATAATAAACTAGGGTGTTCTCATGTCAGATTTGTCCAAGGTTAAACCCAGTTATATGTATTCTACACGCAGTGTTTTCTACGAGCAGTCTTTTCTCCATTGACAGCATGGCTGATGCATTTAGTCGTCACGACAGCAGCTGACAACTAGTAGAAGAGGGGGGGAAAGGCCGTGTGACGCTGTCAGAAAGCACAGTCGTAAGAACGACAATGGACAGTTTTGATATCCAACCGCAGAAGACAAAAGCAAAGAAAGACTAAATTAATTGGCTTACATCAAAAGTGGACGGGTCCGGGACGCAATGAGCTGCGCCTGTGAGAAAGTCTGCAGCTGCCAATCAGAGCCCGGGCCAAGATCACATGATCACAAAAAGTTTTTCGAGCTACATACACACTCATGTGGCCGGCGCCCCGCATCCAGGAAGTGTAAAATTAGGAAACACGCAGTGAAGACTAACTTGAAATCTGTCAATAATACGAATTGTTAATATAGCAAAAGAATGTGAACGTTATTATCAATATTATTATTATTTTGCTATAATTAATTCAAGTTTACTTTTACATTTGAGAGCTACTTTTTATCTGGTCATTAGTAGCGGGGCGGCGTCCCTGCGCCCTATATTAACCATGGTTAGCTGCAGCTGCAGCTGCCACTGCCGTCGCTCCTGGTCTCCAATGTCCGCTTCCTCGACAACAAGCTGGACGAGCTACGTTTGCTGAGAGAACCCCGCAGAGAGTAGAAAGACTGCTGTGTGTTTGCTTTTACAGAAACATGGCTCCATGACAACATCCCAGACGCGGCCATAAAACTGGAGAGGACGACATTATTCCGGGCGTACAGACAGGCAGCTAGCTCTGGTAAAACCAAAGGTGGTTGGCTGTGCATCTATATTAACAAATTAAAATGCCATGTTAGCCTCTGAACACTGCTCTCAGTTGGCGGAGTTCCTCACAATAAAATGCCATTCTACTTTGCCAAGGGAATTCACCAACGGGATTCTAGCTGTTGTTTACATAGCTCCAAGCGCTAATGCTAACGAGGTGCTAGGAGAGCTACACGACGCCATCAGTGAACTTTTAACCAAACACCCAGACAACTTTATAGTGGTTGCAGGGGATTTCAACCACACCAGTTTAAAGTCTGTGCTCTCCCAGTTCAAGCAATATATGGACTTTAAAACCAAAGGAGAGAACATGCTGGACTTCGTGTATTCAAACTTCCCTGATGCATACAAAGCAACCCCCTCGCCCCCACTTTGACCACTCTGGTCATCTTTCTGTTATGCTGTCGCCTGCTTACAGATCCCTCCTGAAGTGCAGCAGGCCAGTCAAAAAACAAGCCAGGATCTGGCCAGAGGATGCAAATTCAACACTCTAGAACTGTTTTGTTGACACTGACTGGGAGGTATTGAAACCAGCAGCCTCCCAGGGTGTTCAGACTGACTTCGAGGCATATGCTGAGGCGGTAAACAGCTACATCGCAAAGTGTACAGAGGATGTCACTGTAATTAGGACCTTCACAGCACACAGAAATCAAAAACCCTGGATGACTGCAGAGGTGCACACGCTGCTGACTGCCCGTGATGCAGCCTTCAGAGTGGGAGACAGGACTGTCTAAGCTCTCAAATGGGATCAAGGCTGTGAAACGCACCTACGTAGAGTAAATCCAGGAACACCTCTGTGACACAGGAAACACCAGATGGATGTGGCAGGGAGTCCAGGCATTAATGGATGACAAGACCAGGCAGGGGGTTGACGACGATGACGCTTCTCTTCCAGACAGGCTCAACAACTTCTTTGCACGTTTTAAAGCATTGAAGCATCGAATCCAACAATCAGAGAGAGGCCAGTTCTTTCTCCTTCATCTGTCAGGCCAGCTTTCACCATCAACACAGTGGACACACAGAGGACCCTAGCCAGGGTCAAAAGCAACAGGACCAGACAACATCAACATCCAGACAACTGTGCTAAGAGTCTGCGCTGACGAGCTGACAGACGTACTGACTGACATTTTCAACATCTCCCTCAGCCAGGCCATTGTTCCCAGATGCTTCAAAACATCGACCATAGTTCCAGTGGCAAAGAAATCAGTTGTAGCCTGTCTGAATGACTATCACCCCATCGCCAATTGTGATGAAGTGTTTTAAACAGCTGGTCAAACCACACATCACAACCAGCTTTCCTGCATTGCTTGACTCCCTTCAGTTCGCTTACCGTCCCAGCCACTCCACAGAGGATGCAATATCCACCACCTTGCACTCAGTCATCATCCACCTGGAAAATAAAGACATCTACACTAGAATCCTGTACATTGATTTCAGCTCAGCGTTTAATACCAGTACTACTAGTCTTCTCTACTAGTCTCCCCCAGAGACTAGTAGAGAAACTCCTCCTACTCGGCCTGGATACCACCACATGTCTCTGGGTTTTGGACTTTCTGACCGAAAGACCCCAGTCTGTCCAAGTTGGACAGAACATCTTCAACTCCATCACACTGAGCACTGGATCTCCTCAAGGCTGTGTACTCAGTCCACTGTTGTCTGCACTGCTAACACACGACTGTGCAGCCACGCATGAGGGGATCTAGATCATCAAGTTTGCTGATGATCCCACAGTAGTGGGACTCATTGGCGAAAACAAAGAATCAATGTACAGAGATGAAGTGAAACACCTAGAGGGCTGGTGCAGCAAGAACAACCTGCTGCTCAACGTGGACAAAACAAAGAAGATGCTCATCTACTTTCGAAGGTCACGTCCTGAGCATGCTCCCCTCAGCATCACCGGCTGCACAGCAGAGAGAGTGGAGATCACCAAGTTCCTCGGAGTGCAGATCTCACAGGACCTGAGCTGGAATAAGAACACTGCAGCATCATCAAACAGTCCCAGCAGAGACTGCATTTCCTGAGAAAGCCGAAACAAGCTTCTCTCCCTGCCAGTATCCTCAGGAATTTTTACAGAGGTGTGGTGGAGAGCGTGCTGACATCCTGCATCTCAACATGGTACTCCAGCTGCAGACAGTCAAGCCCTGCAGAGTATGGTTAGAGGGTCATCGGCGTTTTCCTCACCTCTGTCTAGGGGTGCGCGATAAGACAATATTAGATCGTGAACTATAAATTGCAGTTTTATGCTGATGCACCGACGTGCCAGACGTATTACCTCATGAACCTGACTGACCAATCATAGCAAATTACGGGCAGTGACGCAATTTCTTACCTTCCTCCTTGTTTGTGTGTGTAACGGTAGCCGCATGGAGAGCCATGGCTGAAAACCAAACGGAGGAGTTGATCTCCGAATATGCGCCGCAGCTCCCCTGCCCCTGCCCCCGCTGCCGCCGCCGCTGCCGTGGACATGGTACTGTGACCATTAACCTAAACACCTAAACTGGTCTTAGTAGCCAAATGCTGCCTGTGCGTCCTGCCCACTTTCAGCCTGTCAGAGCCTGCATGCGGAATTGTTTTAGCTTTTCCCCAAATGACAAAGCGCAAACAAAGGTAATTTGTAAAGTTTGCACAGAGACGGTTCGCACGCTGGATGGCAACACGTCAAACTTGTTCAATCACTTGAAGAGAAAGCACTCTAAACAGTATGTTCAGAGCCAAACAGACAATGTTAACACAGGCATTTGATAAAGGCACTCCGCATGAGAAGACAAGCAAGCGGTGGAAAGAGGCAACAGAAGCAGTTACCTTTTATCTTGCAAAAGATATGGTTCCATTCAAGCCAGTAGAAAACGAGGGGTTGAAATGCCTGCTCAAAGTAGTTGACCCGCGGTACGAGCTCCCCAGCCGAAAATACTTCTCCAGCACTGCCATTCCACATCTCTACGCTGATGCTGAGAAAAGATTGAATGCAGAGTTGAGAACGTCCAGTTTTTCGCAACGAGTGATCTGTGGTCCAGTCGCACTTAGTCTCAAAAATATATGTAAGATCGCAATAAAATCGAAATCGTGACTTTATAATTTTAAAAAATCATCATATGATATTTTTGTCGTATCGCCCACCCCTACCAATAACCAATGACAAAGATCTACTAACTAGACCCTGTAACACAGCATGCCAAGCTTGTCCATCTTATTTCCCAGAGTTCCCATGTTCCCTATAGTCAATGCAGACACAGAGGGCTTGTATTTCCTCTTCAAGAGATTCAAGATGAATTAATTGTCCCAGGCGTGGAAAATGTGTCTTGGGCTAGTCACCCATTTGCAGTCAACACAAGCAGACACAAACAGGGCAAACACAGTTAAAAGATAGAATAAATAAATATGTACATCAGGTAGAAGCAGAATAAAAATGAATACCATAATGTAATTTCATGAGTCGAAAACATGGCATTTAAAAAAAAAAGAAAAAAAAAGGAACAATTAAAGCTATTT